ACATTGGAAATGTTTGAAAAGGTGTGCTTTTGAGCTCCTCTATATAAGAGGTACATACATAATTTTTTGCCCATCAATATAGCAAGTATTATGAAGTCAAAAGGTTCTTATTTAAGAAACATTAGTTTTGTCTTCTTATTTTAGTTATTTATTTATTTATTATTTATTATTAGTGGGGGTTGGGAAAGATTAATCCAAAATGTATGCGTTGTTTTAGTTTTTTCTTTGCAGTTTGGAGCAACTTACTGAGTTATTAAATAATATTTTTGGTGTTTTGATTAAATATAAATTGTTAAAATGACGAATTTGTCAATAATCAAATAATAATAATAATAATAATAATAATAATAATAATAATAATAATAATAATAATAATAATAATAATAATAATAATAATCCAAACAAAACGATATATAAAATAAAATTAAAAAATAATAATAGGAAGAAGAAGTCAAAATGGAGCCACGGGCTCCCTTTGTAAATGATGTGGAATCATTTTGATCTCACATTGAAAATGTTTGGAAATGTAAGCTCAGCTCCTCTTACAAAGAAGTCCAAAGTGTTTTTTTTTTTTTTTTTTTTTTTTTTTTTTGAGAAGTAAAGGGAATGTTTCAATAATAATATTTTACATCATCAAATAGTAAATGCATATTTTAAAAAATAGTAAAGGTAAATTAAAAATGAAACGAAAATATTTCAATAATAATATTCTACATCATCAAATTAAAATAAAACGGAAATTATGTAAAAATATCATTGTATCTATATTTTAATTGACTAATAATTGACTGAAAATAAAAAAGAATAATTGACTACACATTAGCTATTAATTTGAGCAATTATTTGCACAAAATCAAGCAATAATAACATCAAAATATATAAACGATCCAAATGATATCTTTAATTGCATTATATAATATTTGATGTTCTAATTTAAATAATTATATATCAATTCATATATTCTTAATATATTACAACAAATTCATTCCGTGCATCGCACGGGCGCAAATACTAGTGTGTGTAATAACTCATACCACAAGTTATAGTCTTGATGGGGCATAGTCCAATTTGTGGACAAATAGACAATGATATGATTTACCTTGTAAAGTAGACCACTAACATAAGGTTTATTTTTAATACATCAAATGTTGATTTTTTTAAAATGTATTTTTAGTGTATTAAAAGTTTGTTTTTAAGTATACTACTTAAAAATAAACATTTATCTGTGTTTCGTAGTGTATTAGGAAGGGTAAGTAAGATTGGGCTTGGGTACTGGGTAGTGACAAATTATATCGTGCATCGCGGTGCATAATCAATTATGCACCGAGCTTTAAAATGACGTCGTTTTATTTAATGAAAAGAAACGACACCCGTTTCGCACCATTCTGCAAAAAGTAACTCCGTTATTCAGTTTCATTTTGTATACACTGCAATTTCAGTACAACACAACTACAATTTTATTTCAATATAACTGCAGTTTCATTCGATATTTATACACTCAAATATGCGAAAATGTTATTTAATTTTATTTTATATACACTATAGTTTCATTAAAACACAACTACATGATCATTTCGATATAACTACAGTTTCATTGCACAATATACACTCAAATATGTGTATTGTTATTCAGTTTCATTTTATATACACTGCAGTTTCATTTCACCACAACTATAGTATCATTTTGATATAACTGCAGTTTCATTTGATAATACACTGTAGTGTCAGTGTAAATACACTGTAGTTTCAATTGGTAATTAACATACAAAAAATGCGCGCTCCGTTAACAGTAACGGCGCGCCGTTTCTTTACATAAAGAAACGATATCGTTTTGACCGAAATGCACATGCACTGCGGTCCACGATATAACTACTGCTGGAGTGCTGGATAGTAGGGAGTTTGGGGCAAAAGTATAAAGAACCGGAAAGTTTGGGCTATATGTAAATGAGAAGACATAATTTTTGGTTGTCGTAGATTTAGTACATGCTTTCACAATCATTATACCATGGACCCTTCACAATACTCAATCGTTATATCGTGCACCAAAGCGTACAATGCATTGTGCGCCCCGTCCTATCCAAAACGATGTCGTTTTGATGTATTGTCCAAAAAAAAATTTATCTGTTTCGAATACACATAAGCTCATAACATAATATACAAAAACTCATAACTGAATACACATAATCTAACAATACATAATACACAAAAATTCTTAACTAAATACACAAAAACTCTTAACTGAATATACAGAAACTCATAACACAATACACAGAAATTTTTAACCGAATATACATAATGGGGTTTGAATGGTTTAGACAGACAAAGTAACGTCAACAATTGAAACCCGCGCCTATTGTGCACATTGCTATGTACGCCGTGGTGCAAGATATAAATTGCCTACAATACCATGTGAAAGTGGAGAAACTTAACAGAGTAAGAGCGTCAAAATTGATTACACCAAAAACAAAAATAACAAAACTTTAGATGTTTAATGGAATGCCTGAAAGAAATTCTGTGTGTTTTGATTGTCGTAGTACTTGGAGCTGGGGAAATCCATATATTCTGAGTGCCAAAGTGCTACAAGCCTACAAAGGTACTTTGTTTTGGATTTCTCTATTACTTTACCTCCCTTGAATCTGAGCTAGGACTGTTTAGCAATGGCTACTTGTGAGCTTGAGCAGCTAGGTTTTCCCGTTCCTTTTAATTCTTTCATTTTGTTTGATGGAGACATTTAACGAAGTTAGATCATCAAAATTGATAACACGAAAGACAAAAATGGCAAAATCACTACATGTTTGATGGAATGCCTGAGAGAAATTCTTTGTCATCACCTGGGTTTTGATGGTCGTAGTACGTGGAGCTGGAGAAGTCTGATGGGCTTTGAATTGCTCTTTTACTTTACATAAAGCTGTGTTTCTACATCTTACATTTCAGAGAATTTATTTATTTATTTTTGTGCAGAGATGAGACAATGGCTTATTTTTCAGTCATTTCCGTCACGCTACTTCTTGAGCTTGAGCAGCCAGGTTTTTCCTTTCTTTTAAATTCTTTCATTTTGTTTTCATTTTTTTGCATAAACAAGCAAGATGCAAGAAACCAGTGAAGATAATATTACAGAAAGAAAGCATGTGCAAGAAACTATTTAAAAGACAATGAATATAAATCTATAGGAGATAACATGCAATCAAAGATGGTTAATGAACAAACACACAAATGCATACAAGAAAAGAACAAACAAAGTCCCCAACATTTAGAATAGTGGTGGAAGTTGAGGTCTGGGAACGGGAAAGGAAACTTATCTTGGTCCTGATAGAACTGATGCTGTTGGGGTATATGAGTTGATTACTGTTCTTGAGCTTACTGTGAGTGGGGCTTCAACTTCTGTTATATTTAACAATCCATTGGTAGTGATAAACTCTAGCCCCGGCCCTCCTTCTAGTACCTTGACAATTACAGACATAGGAGGTCTCCTGTTGTGAGCCTGTAAACAACAAAGTGCAATCTTCATCATCTTTTCTGCATCCTCTTTGTAGCTATGCTCATCTTCAAAGTGTTGGTCAATGAAATCAAATAGCCGATCTTGTTCAGCCCTTTCTTTCACTATATCAATTAGCGGTTGGGATTGACGGTGATCACAATTTCTCCTCCTGAATATAGTTTCTATCATCACAATTCCAAAGCTGTAAACATCAATCTTTTCGGAAATATTTGTCCCCTTGAACAATTCAGGAGCAACATACCCTGGAGTTCCCTTGAGAACAGTTAACACTTGGCTTTGATCCCTAGCGATCAATTTAGCCAATCCAAAATCAGCAATTTTGGCATTGAAATCCTCATCCAAGAGAATGTTTTGGGGCTTTATATCAAAGTGAATGATTTTCGGATTGCAATGTTCATGAAGATATTCGAGCCCTTTAGCTAAACCAACAATGATTTTCTTCCTCATTTCCCATGTTAAACTGTTTGTTGTTTTCTGTTCCTGAGAAAAAATCCACTTGTCTAGCGAACCATTGCACATGTGCTCATATACCAGTAACCTCTTTGATTTTTCCCTACAGTACCCTATCAACTTGACCAAATTAAAATGATGGATCTTACCTATTGTATTGACCTCAGCCAAAAATTCTTTTAGACCTTGGCTCTTTGAATCTAACCTTTTCACTGCTATTTTTGTTCCATTTTGTAGAACCCCCTCAAAGACAGATCCAAACCCTCCTCGACCCAGCCTTGATTGAAATTCACATGTTGCAGATTTCAGTTCTGAAAAACTGAATCTCTTATATGCTCCAATAGCTTGGTTGTCTATCTCCTCCTCTTCATTCACTTGATCATCTGCTTCCTTATTTGACTTCTTGTGCAGCTTGTAGTGATAACATGCTCCCGAAAAAATAATAACTACTAAAAAGGATAGGGAAAGCACAATCACTAAAATGCGGACAAAAGATGATTTGTTCACATCCTCAAATCTCTGAACTCTGATGAGTGCATAAGAACTACCACCACCTTCATTTCCTAAGGTTCTAAATGAATAGATTTGAGATTCCAAAGAGCAATTGCCAAGTGACATGTTATTCCAACAGTGAAATATGGCAGCCTTACATGAACAAGAGCTCAAACATGCCTCCTTGCAGCTTTCTTTGTTGATATTATATTGCTGTGGCACAAAATTGAAGTATGTAACATTTGTGAGCTCCAAGAAAGTATGTTGTTTTACATCCTCACATGACAATGGTTTTACTTGTTTGCATCCCTTTGTCGGCAGCGAATCATTTGAGTGTACAAAGTAGCCTGCCTTTCCACCTGGACAACTGCATTGCCCATTTGAGCAAATTCCAAGATCACCGCATGATTTCGGATATGAGCACTCGCCCAATCTGCGATCTTCTAGAAAGTCACCTTGTATCTCAAAACTAATGTTGAACTTATGAGAAAGAGAGGGTTGGTACATGGTTAGATGTCCATTCGGTTCAAGAACTACATAGGGCAATCCTAGTTTAGTGTCAGCACTGACATTGAATCGCAATCCATTTAGGAGTTTCTCAATGAAGGCAATATCATTAGACAGATTCTGCAACTTTAAAAACGTAGAAAGTTGGTATGCTCTGTACTGTTGGGGTGAACTAAGGCCTATAAACGCATAAATGCCACTAGGAGTTGCAGTTAGATAGAACTGACCTGATGCGAAACTGGATGAGGAATTGCGAGCCACCAGTTTTTTGCCTATTGAAAGGACCTGATTAGGCAGCAATGTATCAGTTGGATGATCAAAGGACTGCCATAGGGTGTGACCAGTGCTATCCTCAAGTACCAAATTTCCTTGTGTTGTTAAACTCATCTTCTGGACCAAAAGGCCCGAAGTATTTGTAGACCAAACAAGACTCCCATCTGAATCTTTCAGAAGCAGGTCCCCTTTTGATGTGAAGTCCAGGGTAGCATTCTCTCTCACAGGATTATCTCTATTTGCAGACCAAAAAATAACTGGTGGAGCAAGTAGATTGATTGAGGATAGATTTTTGTTGGCATTGAGACCAGCAGAGGATATCTTTAGTGAGAAAACGACAAGATAAAAGGTGTCGCCTTTACTTCCATCAGTGAAAAATCCAAAACCAATAGGGGGACTGTCGGGGCCATTTGTTGTTAGCAATATTGGTCTGTATGTAGAGCCATCAGTGAAAACCCAATTCCTTTGCTCAATAGACAGATTGTTCTTCCAGGAAGCGGAATTGAATGCGAAATGGCGCTGAAACACATATGGGTACTGCCCAGCTGCATTGCCCGGGGGGTCATATAGACAAAGCAGAGTAACTCGCCAAGTTGTTTCACTGAGGATCTGAACCGCAGCACATCCCAGACGATCTGAACTATGCCAAACCATTTGAGTATAGTGCCTACACTCTTCTTCAGCTACACAAGAATTTGACTCTATGTCATACACATCTTTCTCGTCAATCCAAGACCACAAAGTTAAGTTTTCAAAATCAAAGTTTTTCCTAAAAAAGTCATTCTGTCCAGATGATCCACCCAAGTTCATGCCATATCGATTGCTTTGCACGTCTGGATAAGATTGATTTTTGCTGTGAAGTAGTAAGTTTTTTGCATAATTCTCTAAAGAACTGTCCCATACCAAAGGCTTGACACCAACTTCTCGACGAACATCGTTATGCAAGGTAAGAAAATATGAATTATCAGAAGAAGAGAAAGCCATTTTTGCAAAGAAAATGAAGCAGGAAGCCAGCAGCACTGCTTCCTCCATTCTAATTATTGGTTGTTGTAGCTCTACGGATATCTCAATATGGATTGAAAGAAGATAAACAGTGGATCCTAATTAAGACACTGCTGCCCCGTTTGATAATCTGCACTGAGCTGGGCGTTTTGACCTCTGGTCTCAGGTTACTTTCCAAGTTTCCTTCAACTCAAATGTACACAAAATATAATTACAAAGACGAAAATTCCTATATATGTAAATTAGAAGAAATAACTGCTATACAGAGTGAAAAAAAAAATATATTTTAACTAAAATTGTATGTGTATATATAATATTAATATAGAGTTAATACCATCCGAGGTCTTCCGAGTATAGTGGTTTTGCCACGTTTAGTCCTAAACTTTCAAATTGACCATTTGTGGTCCTTCGACTTTCAAATTTAACCATTCGTGGTCCAAGTTAACCACCCATGGTACTCTGACTATTAAATTTTAACCAACCATGATCCTTTTAAGAGGACCACGACTGGTTAAATTTCGAAACTTGAAGGATCATGGGTGGTTAACTTGGACCACGAATGGTTAAATTTGAAAGTCGAAGGACCACAAATGGTCAATTTGAAAGTTTAGGACTAAACGTGGCAAAACCACTATACTCGGAGGACCTCAGATGGTATTAACTCTATTAGTATATTATTGTTCAGATTTTTTTTGAGTAGTTTAAAGAGCAATAGCATTAGAAATGGAAATTGAGAAAAAGGCAAAGGATAAACCAATCTATAGAAAACATGAGAATAGGACTATATGAGTGTAACCAGGGGCAAGGTTGGACCTTGCCCCCAAACTTTTTGAAAATTTATAATCACTACCTCTATTTATTTTAAAAAAAAAGTTGTAATTCAGTATGTATACATTGTATGTCAAATTAATGTTGGTTTCCAAAATACTTTTAATTGATACAATTAATATTACATTATTTGAACTAATTTAATATTAAACTACTTAAAATCAAGCCATTAATTCAAAAGTTTAAGCTAAGAGTACAAACAAATTTAAATTATATAAATTTTTAGGGAAAATTACCATTTTGATCCGTCAATTGTTTCTCTACTATCAATGTAGTCCATAGTTTTCAACTTCAACTAATTTGATCCTCGAATAATTTAAAATTTCTTCAATTAAACCCTTTCGAGGGACCAAAATGGTGATTTTTCCATTTTTAAAATTTCGTCAATTTATTCTTCGAAGGGTTTAATTGACAAAATTTTAAAAAATTGAGCAAATTACACTTTTGGTCCTATGACTATAGGAGGCGTGTTAATTTTGGTACGTGACTTTTAAAACTAACAATTTAGTCCTTTAACTATGATTTTTTTAGCAGATTTGGTCCTTCCGGCCAATTTACCGGTGAAAATTGGCCGGAAAAATGTAAACTTTTTAAAAATTTTTATTTATGGGGGCAAAACAGTCATTTTACGTTGTAAAAAAAATGACTATCTTTTACGTTTTTCTTCAGGACTATCTTTGCTTCAAATTTGTGAGAACTTCACCTCAAGAAGCACAATATACGCTAATAGCTCGTGTACATGGATGATCTTCACCGACGTCGACGAGTTTCTATATTCAAAATTGTGAGATGATTTCCACGAGCCATCGCGATTGCTGTTACGCTCTGTGTTTCTAGAAACCGGTGACATGGCGCAACTCAGCATTGCTTGTCTCAAGTTCGAGCTGTCGAACTGGACTTTCTATCCGCCGGCGGGCGTAACACAGAGCGTAACACTGATAACAAATAATTTTCCTTTTTTTTTTACAACGTAAAATGACTGTTTTGCCCCCATGAATAAATTTTTTTAAAAAGTTTACATTTTTCCGGCCAATTTTCACCGGTAATTTGGTCGGAAGGACCAAATCTGCTAAAAAAATCATAGTTAAAGGACTAAATTGTTAGTTTTAAAAGTCACGTACCAAAATTAACACGCCTCCTATAGTCATAGGACCAAAAGTGTAATTTGCTCTAAAAAATTTGAGGATCAAATTAATTGAAATTAAAAATTATAGACTACATTGACAGTTTAGAAACATTGAGAGACTAAAATGATGATTTTTTCTAAAGCTTTATTTATATTTTTTGAAAAACCATGCCTTATATTAATGGAAAAATTGATGGATACAAAAAGAAAAAGAAAAAGAAGACACCCAAGTAGAAGGGCCAGCATCAGAATTCATCCCTCTAGCTAACGTATGAGCCAAGAAAATCGTTGATCTACAAATATATCGAAATGAGACCGAATCAAAGTGCCTTATAAAATAACTACATTTCTCTATGATACAACCTGCATAAGATAAATTGTAAGATGGCAAATTAAAAAAGATATAAACATTTAAGCAATCGTCTCAACATAAATGTGTTGCCAATTCTCATATTTTAGTTGAGATAGAGCTTCTTTTACCGCTAGAACCTTGGCTGTATGCGGGATCGTTCAGGTGGCGAAAAGGCCCCCTCTTTGCAACAGTAAATTCTCTACGAGGTTTGAAGCCATAATCTGAATTTCAGTCACTCCCAAACTCTTACTATTCCAAAGTTTATATATATAAAAGTATAATCTTCCTATTTTATTTTTCCACTCAAATTTTTGTAGCAAAACTTATTTGGTAACCAAATGTAAAATAGAAATTAATTAAAATTTATTAATTAATAATATTGTTTCGATATTCACGTATTAACCTAATTGGTAAATCTATTAATTGGTAATATTTTTCCTTATATTCATTTATTCATTTATTTATATTGAGTAATTATATATAGAGATATAGATATGTATACTAACATACAACTGTTACGTTTCCAATGTTTATCCTTGCCTATGATATTTCTCCATTGAAGACTTGCAGAGCTATTAGATTGCAATTGGTGCGCACCTATATTGGACAGTCCCATAGAGAAAGGGGAGTAATTACATAAAATCTAGAGAGTGCACATTTCACAATCAAATGATTTTTTTTTTTTTTGCTTTTTTTTTTTTTCTAGAACTCGTGTATATATATATATATATATATATATATATATATATATATATATATATATATAGTAATATATATATTATGTACTGTACTAGTATATTTATATATGCATTTTATATATATATATATATATATATATATATATATATATATATATATATATTAAGTAGTAAAGTGGTCCAATTCTTAAATTAAATTCTTAGCATGAAAACAAACAATTAAACTTTATATTTTATGTTGCTTTGTACCGGACGTGCGGCAAAGCAGGCTTCGTCAAAATTGTGCGCAGATTACGGCGAGACCGGGCAGCAGTGAAGATTCATTCCTACGGCGCTTAATTAGGAATTGGACGGCGGAAATCAATTTGAACCTATATTGAGAATTGTATAAATAGTAGAAGATTTCTCTTGTTTAAACGTTCATTCTTTCCCCCTTTAGATTATTCTTTAAAGTTGTTATCAATGTCCATTCGTGGCTAATTTCTTTAGCTTGGTTTAGTGAATTGAAGCCCCAGAATTGATTATGCTGTAAAAAAAAAAAAATTAAAGGGGAAAGAAATGAACGTTAAATAATAGAAAACTTATACTATTTATACTATTCTTAAAATAAACTCAGATGAACTTCCACGACACATTTCCTCCCTTTGCGCCGTTTGAAGATGCATGCGGCTGCGGAAGAAATCTTCAAACGGCGTAAAGGGAGGAAATGTGTCGTGGAGGTTCATCTGAGTTTATTTTAAGAATAGTATAAATAGTAGAAGTTTTCTATTGTTTAACGTTCATTTCTTTCCCCTCTAGATTTTTTTTAACTACCAAGCTTCGTATATATATTGTAAGTCGTCATTCTTCTGGCAGAATAATATACAGAATGCTTTCCTTCTCTCTGCTCTCGTTTCATCTCTCATCGCATGTGTAAGGTCAGCCGACAGTATTAATCTAATTAAGGTCATATTCAGAGCCCAAGGCTTCCAAATCATGCAAATTTTAGGGAATGAAGAACTACACAAGTTTTCTGTAGGAGTTTCAAGGAACAATCGAAAAAAAAAAAAAGAAAAAAAAAAAGCATTACCCAGATAGGACAATTAAGAACATGATATTTGATAAAATGCCTTACCCGATTTCACCGTTAAAAGCTCATCTATAGCTATATTAAGTCCATAAGCAGTGAAGGGTTTTGTTTGGCATCAATCATACATGTATGGATAGCAGCCAATAGTTCTCCACAGGATTACCAACCTATCTTCTATAAGTTCAGTAGAGGAAAAATCCTTGTTCACTGCATATTTGATAGTTGAATCAAAAAATTTATAGCTTTATCAGGGAAACAGCTGCAAATTCTCAAAAATTTCTCATTGGGTATTCCATCTAAGAAATTTTGGTGTTGCACTTGTAGCCTCTCACAAAAAAATGTGCAGCAAATATATAATCTCATCCTCTGGAATCTCTAGTAAATCGTTAAGGCACTGAAATCCAATTTCAAAAATTGAGATCAGTACACATTACACAAATAGCAACTACATAATTTATCATTTCTACTCCACATTCAGAATGTTGGAACCCTGTGGAAACAACAGAACACATTCTTCGTCTTTAATTTTCCCCAAAGCAAGAGATCGAGGTTTGGAATCAAATCCTTCCTGGTATGTTAAACAGCTTGCAAAATCCTTTACAGATTGGTTGGATCATTGGATCAGAAGGAATACGGGTAATCGTAGCAATCATAGTGTAAATATCACCTTTGCCATAACAGCTTGGTGGTTGTGGAAATGGAGAAATGGAAGAATTTTTAATGGCAAAGAAAGGAATTATAAGTTTAAATTTCTTTGGATTCAAAACCAAATATCAGAAAACAATACAGCTTTCTCAAGGGCTTTATGCATAAACCTGGCATTTGCTCATCTGAGACAGCTGAAGCATGGGGTCTTCTCAAAGGTATACAACTAGCAAAACTCCTGGGAAGCAAACAAACTATATTTGAAAGTGATTCCGATTCAATTGTCAAAGCGATTAATCAGGGTCTCAGAGATAACAGTGTTGCCGATCAAAACTGGTAGAGAACAAAACCAGGTAGCCGATCTTTTGGCAAGAAAAGCGTCTAACATCACTGGTACTTGTATTCTTAATGAACCGCCTGACTGTGTGGCTGGGATTATTGAACATGACTATATATGATGAAATCCCTGCTTGGCGGCTAATGTATTCTAACTTGTAACTGGGTGTCTCCCTCCCTATTTGAT